GGAAGAAACGTATCTCGTGCTCATGAGAAAGTATATCTAAGACATTTTGCCACACATACATACAGAGTAACACATTAAAATAAACTATCATGTATCATGTACGGTTGGGAAATCTATGCAACAACAGTGCCCTCCTGTGTCTAACTGTGGTACCCTACATTAATTAAATGCTCACCATATATATAAGTACTTATGTCACGCATGACATGCCGGTATCATAGATTTCCCAACTGTACGTACTGTATATGATTTTTCTTAATGTATTACCCTGTATGTATGTGTGGCAAAATGTCTTAGATATACTATATACTATACTACTATACTATATAGATCCGTCCACCCCCCCCCCCCCATGTCCCTTAAGGGGCTCCGTACTTTTCCCACTATCCTGCTCTCTAATCAGTAATGCTTCAAAGCTTTCTAGAAAGCTTTCTAAAAAAAAAGTTGTTAAATAAAATGATTTTGTGTTTTACCTTCTAACTGTTACTAACTTGAAAAAATTGATACCTGCTACACTCCAAATAACAGAATTAGCATGTTAGCTAGTAGCAGGTGTAGGGCAGGAAGAGTTTTTTTTTTTAATTGCTTAAAAAATTGGCTTTGGTACCATCAGTAACTGATGTTAAGAAAAACCTACGCTGGTTTTGATGAAACCAAACTTTTACATTTCTGATCTGTTGAGCAGAGTTAGTATTCTAAGATTTTAAATTATGTCACTGATGATGATGATGATGATGATGATGTCACAAGGCACTATAACCAGCTACTGAGTTAAACTTTGAATACTTTGTTATGAGTTAATTTTTGTTGCCGCTTTATAAGGTTGGTTTGTCAACGTGAGAGATGGGACAACATCGAAGAGAAATGAGAAAATCTCAGCTTTGTAGTCATTGGTCAAAAAGACCTGTACAGGGTGAGGAAGTGACCCTAAATAAACAACAAAGAGACACAGTCTCATCTGTCCCACGATGTTATCCCATCCCTCTTCATCTGAACCATTTTCTGTCTCCATGTGTCCCGTCAGTTGAAGAATGACAGTGAGGTTTGTGGCAGATCGGCTCTTTGATCGGCTCTTTAAACAACTCTTTGATCTAATCTGTCTGTTATCATAACCTTAACCTTTATTTTCTAAACCTACTTCACCAAACATTTTGTTTCTGTTCTTAATATAAAGAAAATGTCACCTGTGACAGATGTGCAGATTTTTTATTTCCACAATTACTTAATGATTGGTGATTTTTATTTTTTATTTCAACAAATTAAGCAATTTTCCTTTATAAATTACTGCCAATATTTGCTGTGAATATTTTTTAAAAAGGACTTCACTTTTTTCTCTAAATATCTACAATCTGTTTTTAATTGGAATGCATTGGACTTGTCTAAACACATCAATGTTCTCTCACTGATCTGTCTCTACTTAAGGTCAAAAAAGCCTTTGTTTACACTTAATTTAATCTGTAGTTATAGTTATAGTACATATGGTTGATATGGTAAAAAAGAAGGTATTTTAAATCCTAATCTTAATTTTAATCTGAATGTTAAATGATATCCTTACTACTAAACTAGTCTCTGACTAAAAATAATTATAATAGTTTTTATAATTTTTAGTACTTTAGGACTAGGAATTATTTCTCTTTGCTGGCAACTTGTAATCATACAATATATCTATATCAATATATCTATATATACACATATATTCATATATATACATATAAATGTATAATTACATTTATACCTATACATATACACATATACATATATATATTTAAATCTGTCTGAAACCTAATTACATTTAATCTTATAGTAAACAAAAAACTAAAACAGTGTAAACATGGCTTGGTTAAGTAAGTAACGACTAAAATAAATTCTTATTCTTTAGCACCTCCTATCGACCGGCTGTGCTCACTTCACGTCATTAACATGACTTAAAAAACAAACAGGTTTACATGAGCAGAACAAAGAGCTTCTCTGCCAAAAACCAACACTAACTCACAGGAAGCAAAAGAATCACGTGCATTTTTCCTCAAAACAAAAGTACATCAACTTTTCTTCTTCCTGATGTCAAAGCTTACTCTTAATTCTTTTTTCCCCACTTTTTTTCAACAACAACAAGAACACATTTCTGGAGACACGTGCAGAAAATAAAGATTTAACCACCCTCCAAATTCTCCCTTCCCCCCTCCCTCCCACCTGCCCCAGGCTAACCCAGACCTGCCCATCCTCGTTGTTAAAGACCCCAGACATGCCGGAGTTTACCTGGCAACCGAGAGAACAGAGAAAACCTCTTAAAGTAGAGGTGTCGAGGACGAGATGCAGCCACTGAGATGAGAGAACGAAGAAGGAAGGCGGAGTTGAACAAAGGGAGAAGAAGGGAGGAGGCGGAGGAGGAGGAAGGGACAGTCAGTGAGACAGTGGGAGATAGAGACACCGTTCTGCTTCCAAGGACTGGGCTAGGACGTGCAAAAACATTAGGTGAACATTGCTGTACTCTGAGACAGACAGACAGACAGACAAATCACACTGTTTGGAGTGAAGAGTTTGAAGGTGTTTGGATGAGGCTGACAGATAAGGACAGAAAGCTGGAAAATGAAAAATTAATTCAATTTATATAAACACTTCTGTCAGTCTCCTATTTTGTCCTAACAGTGTTTGTGTCACGTGAACAATTTCTTCATTTCTGACAATAACCCGTGGATTATTATAAACAGAACTTCAAAAAAGTCAATTTTATATCAGAATGATTAAACAGACTCCTAATGTATATTAATATTTATGTTACTTCTTTAATGTTGTAATTAAAATTCTGTAAAATGCATGAATATTAAGAGTAATTTAAATAATGTCACAGGGAAATACTTTTATCTTGATTTATTTTCTACCTAACTTTTTAATGAATTCATTTTTATTTATTTTTATTTAATTTATTTTTAATTGTAAATTAAGTATGTTTTATATTTATCTATTCTTTTTAACTTATTAATGAATTTTTTTTTAATTTAATTTATTTTTCAATTAATTTATTTTTATCCTGATTTATACTTTCTAGCTTATTAATGTATTATATTTTAATTTAATTTGTTTTTCATTTTTAAATTAAATTAATTATTTTATCTTGATTTATTCTTTCTAACCTTTCAATGAATTAATTTTTTTTTATTAATTATTTGTTCATTGTTAAATTATTAAATGTATTTTAATTTAATTAATAAATGCTTCTTTCAAAAAAAAAAAGTTCTTTCAAAATCAACAGGAAAGATTCTTTACTCTGTTGCTATTTATTTTAATGTAAAAACATCATAAATTTACCACTCCTTAAATCCTGACTGTAGCCATTTGAACAAACCAACATCCTTCAATGTCAGAACTTTTTTTTTTTATCCCAGCAAACAGGCAGAGCAGAAAACAGAGCAGATGTACAACTGAGAAACACGAAGAGTCTGTCAAGAACACACAGACAAGATGAATGACTACAAACATACACCAGAGCTAACCTGGAGAGGATTTAAAAGGAAAAGTGTTTACATGTTAATCAAGGCACTTTGGAGGGTAATAACTACGCACTCTATAAATATACAAATTATACACAAATTCCCACATGTTTACTTAACTTAACTTCTTTTTTTTTTACATTTCTTCTTCCAACTGACAAAGTAACAAATTTTAATTCTGTGTGTCATTCCCCTTTTATTATTAACTACATTTTGTTTAATAAAGTCTACATTGCTTTTATTGCTTCACGTGTCACAGCCACGAAAATACGACATGGCTTTGTCGTAAACTGCCACAAGATGACTGCATATGCCATCTTGCACATTAATAATTGGCTTATTTTCACATTGATCGGAGCGCAATAGCAGATGAACAATGTAATGTTCTGAAGAAAGAACAGAGCAGAAAGGAGTTTTTTTTTTTTACACTCACCCAATGTAGGAGCACTTAGTGCCATGACGCCGTAGGATGAGAACGGTCCGGTCTCAAATTTCATGTTCTCATTACCGGCCTCAACTTCCACTCGACCCTGAGGGAAACAAACAGACACAAGTACGATGAAGAGACAAAAACCACATCAGTCACATTAGTGACATATTCAAAATTGCAGATTCACTTATTTTTTTATTTAATATGGCACCTTTTTTTTTTTTTTTAAAGAAAGGACTTAGTTAGGTGGTACTGAAGCTTTTTACACCACGTACCATATTTGTAAATATTGATATTTGTAAGTACCACCAGTATTACCAACAATAAACATTCACAGACACAGACACACAGAGCAAGCAAAAAAATATAACAGCTCCTTGTAACAACTATCTGATCACCACATGTACCACTAGCGGGAGCCTATTACCATAATTTTAGAACCAATTAATCAGATTAAAATACATTTTTTTAAGATAACAGTTGTAACAAAAATAAAAGTAAGTAAAAAGTAAAAAGTAGTAAAATAGACTGGACAATGAATGGTGTAATATTGGTAAATAATAATGACGTCATTTATTTTATTTTTAAATAATTTAGCAACAATAACAAATCCATCAAAGTCCGACGATTTCTTTTTTTTACTAAGACTTGGCTTGGCCTCTAGAGGGCAGTACAATATCAGTTCTACACAGGACATTTATTAACAGCAGTGTGTCCGGGTGCATTGCCAGTTATCGCGTTCACACTGTCCTTGTGTTAATGACGCTTGTGTTAGTCAAAGTTTGACGGCACTGATGATACAGTGAAAGTCAGAGACACCGAGGTCAAATTAGAAACACGGACGGATGAGAGGACGAGGGGACAACAGGGGGTGAAGGCGGCCTCTACGCAGTTGGCTGGAATCACTTCGCTGGAATGTGTGAACTGCAGCAACTACACAGGACAGTTAATCCACCCTGGCATCCCTCCTTCGTCTGCCCACCTACCCCCAGGGCTGCACAACAGGTGGCAAAATAAAAGGGTGGGAAAAAAAGGGAGAAGGGCAAAATAAGACAGGAGGTCCATGTTTGCATGAGATTAGTATGCATTAATGATTTTAGTTAGGGCGACCAGAGACATCAACGCCCAGCAGCTGCTGCCATGTCAGTTGAAACAAAAGGCCGGTTTTCAAGCTTTGTTTCCTCCTACTGTAACTGGACACCACCAGGAGATGGATATTCTCCCTGAATCTTCCCGTTTTGATGGCCAAATGAGGGACATTACACTATAGCTTGACCAATCTCTCAGTCTTCTCATCACACTAACACTGCTTGGAAAAACGTTATTGTTATACGGCACGGGTCAAGAAACACGGTTTAGGGTTGAATAAATCGGTTCCACCCACTGAGCCACAGCTGCAACCACAGACACTGACAGAAAAAAGCAAAAAAAAAAAAACGTACAGTAATTGTAAACGAGAAGGAAAACACAATTTAGACTTAAGAAACAAATAGACATTTTTTCGTAAAAGTCGAGTCGAGTCGAGATCAAGTTGGTTTTAAGTAAAGACAATAAAAAAAAGAAAGAACAAAAACAAAACTGTGAATTTTGCACACAAAAAACTGTCATTTTTTTGGGAAAATTTAAAGCCAGGCATCAATTAAACTAGTGGTTATCAAGGCATGACTCATGGACCAAATCTGGCCCACCGAACCATCCAATCAGACTGGCAACTGGATTCCAAAATCAAATAATACTGTTATAAAAACTGCTCTAGGCCAATAAAAAGTTTATAAATAATAATATAATAAATGCAAACATATTGCAAAAATGTACCCTGTCAGGTCTATCCTGACGTCAGTACAGTATAGGGTTCAAGCTGCTCATTGGTTGCTGGTCCGGTTGTGTGGTTCACCTTTTAATGATGTGCCAATACGTGCTTTAAGAGACAGCCCAAAAAAAAAATAAAAAAATGACTCCATGGACCACGACTGTTTTCATAACCAGGTTTTAAGCAGTGTTACATCTTCAGTTGACTCTAAAGGCAAAGGTTAAACCTGCTCAGCTCTGTCGCCAGCTTTTGGCCACTTACAATGTATCAGCAGATTTGAAAAAAAAAAAAAAAAAAAAAAAACAAAATGCTAATCACCTTGACATATGGTCAAGGCAGTGTGTCTGTGAGCCAGGAGCTACACTGGAACACACACTGAATTGAGGTGTGAATGAATTCTCTCTCTATATATATACACACACACACACACACATACACATATATATATGTACACACACACATATATATACACATATATACATACTGTATATACACACACAGGCATATATATATACTGTGTATATATATGTGTGTGTGTGTGTTTCTTTGAGATGTTAAGGCACATATGTTAGCAGCTGCTGCAAGTTTGGTGTTTACAGAGAGGCACGTGGGACGAGGGTGGAGGAAGAAGAAGGAGAGAATAGACAGAGAGGGAGGTGCAGGTGAGGAGTGAGAGGTATTAAGCCAGTTGGTGCTCCAGTCAGACCTGTTCTTCCAAATCTGTTCAAAACAGCCTGCTAACATTTCAACACCAACGGATAACGATATTGTCGTATCCGACGACCAGCCCCTGAAGGCTCATAATAAAGTCACTGCGAATGAGAATCGATTTTCTATCAGCAGAGACGGAACAAAACCTCCTCCGCAACAGTAACACGGAACAAAACCAAACAGTACCAAAAATAAAAACAGAGTCGTTCTAATCCAGGGGTGTCAAACTCATTGTCACCGGGGGCCACATCGGCAATACAGTTCCCCTTGAAGGGTCGGTTGTAACTGGAAGACTGTATAGATCAGGGGTCCCCAACCTCCAGTCCGTGGACCAGTTCCAGTCCATAGGTCATTTGGTACCGGGTCACAGTGAGGCACAATGAAAAAATAGATTAGATAAAGAACTAAAGTCAGAAATAAAAACAGTCGGTGTGTAAAGGTAGTCCACGTTGTGTGTTTGTGTTTTGCAGTGTTTGTGTTTCGCAACAAATATTCCACACAATCCCTCCACACAGCAAAACTATAAACTTTAGACCAGTTCTCATTAAAACCTTTTAAATGTCCAAACATGTCCAGAGGCTGACTGGATCCTGGTGATAGGACAGGACTGATGAACAGTAAACTCGACTCACAGCATTTTTTAAAGAGGCATGAATCACACTGGTCATAAACAAACAGCTGACCGGCTGAGAGGGAGATGACTACCAAGGAAATATACACACAAAAACACACAGCACAGACGTGCACGCACACACAACTTGAGGCACTAACATTGGTATATTGGGTTTTTAGTTCTCGGGAATTCTTGGGGATCCTAAATATCTATGTCTCATCGAGGTAACACCACTCAAAATAGAGCAACACAACCTTTCAACTTTTCAATCCTATTATTTATCGAATAGAAGTAATATTGTTTTTTCATTTTATTTTTACTTTCATTTAATGTGTTTAAAATTCTTATTTATTCCATTGGACTAATCTAACTCATTAAAAGCATCTCCATTTTCTGTGCACATTTATCGTCCTTTTCTTTTCTACTTGTCCAGTCAACAAACCCAGTATTTAGACCAGGGGTTTTTCTGAATAGACACCTTGGCAGCCAGACACTCAAATAAAATTAAGTAAAAAATTTTTGTCGACCAGATTGGATGGATTGGTGAGCCAGATTAGGCCCATGGGCCACCAGTTGATGATCACTGATTTTTTTAAAATTATTATTATTATTTAGAATTTTCTGGAAGGGGTTTCACAGCCAGTAAGGAACAGACTTCCAAAATAAAAATGTTAATGATAATAAACAATCAGTAATAATAATATTAATCATATTAATGGATCATATTGCATTAAAGCACCAATAAAGTGTCAACTTGTCTGGTCCTAATTTAAAAAAATAAAAATACACAAATAATAGCAATAGGAATAATATTAGACATTTTTTAAAATCTATTTTTCATTCACATATAATTACAGTAACATTGTGAGATGGAGACTTCTTTTAAAATGAGCTCATTGTTGCATGTCCTCCTTTCACACCAGCAACATCAAAATAGATTTTTCTTTTCAATTAATAAGCCCTTGTCATGCGTGAGAATTATTTACCATCAGATTAAAACAAGTTCACTCTCTCCCTCTCTCTCCCGCTCCTCCGTCTATTTTAAAACCCTGCTCCCCTGGAATGTGAATTTTGTTTACACGGACAGGACACAAATTTTCCACAAGAAGTATTTTCACAGGCAAAAATGCAGAGGATGTGAATAACTCATCAAGCACGTAGAATTATATACAGCAATTTATGAGAAGCTCTGCTAATGTAAATACATGCCTAACTGCGGAGTAACGGAAGTAACGACAGTAACGTGGAGAAACTGAGTGTTTCTGTGCGACGTGGGAACATCAGACTCCCTCTCCCCACACTCTACCTCTCAACCTTCACAGATCAACAGTGGAAATTTCTGCTCCCTTTTACAAAATGTCTCACAGGACTCTTCCGCAGGTGGGGGTCTCTTTTCCGTGAATAAGCCTCATCATGTGACCTCAGAGCAGAGACAAACAGCAGGGTAGAATGAAAAGCAGCTCTAATGATTGTTTGGGCTGAATTATGGAACCGACTGTGGGAAATGTGTGTGATTGAGACAATGAAGTGAGATTTTCCCACCCTGTGATGGTGGTGGTGGGTGTGTGCGAGTGTGACTATTAATGGGAGGAGAAATACAAGTGTTTGTGATTTGTGTATTGACAGCTGACTGATTAGTGTTGCCCTCCCCCCGCCCCCCCGCCCCGCCCCATCATCCGCTAACATATTATATCATGGGATCAATTAGTGAACAGCAAGACCTCTAGGGGTGGGGGTGTGGAAGGTGGGTGGAGGGGGAGGGCAGACACACAGTCACTGTCTCTCAGCACAATGTTCCAGCTGTTCTAGACGCCTGCTTTAACCCTTGGTGTCTTTCATTTTAATAACCATTCAATTCAAACAGTTCTTACTGTGAAATCCCAGTTAGGACTCACGTGACAGGACATTTAAGTCGTGAAAACATTTCGGTGGCTGCTTTGCTTTGATGTGTGCTTACAAAACAAACGAGTGAAGGGCCCCAGTGTATGTAAAACAACAACAACAGTAATGACAGTAATTGTAAGGTGAGGTTAGTTCTGTTACTTTGGTAACATTCAAAATATATTTGCTATAAAATATATAGGTTTTACTTTCACTGGTGAACTGAGCCAAGATTTGCAACACTTTGGAAAATGTGGACGTAAAAACAAAAACCACCAATGACAACCTTGTCGTCTGGCAGGATTAACAAAGGACTGAATAACATCTTCAAGAACTCAAAAAAAAAAAAGGATCTGTAACACTAGACACAAAATTCACCCACATCATTCACAAAACAATGGTTTAGTGGTAGAAGGTAGTACTACAACAGGGCAGTACATGGTCATGACACAAGCAGAATACTCAGCAGTATGTGTTAAAAAAAAGTTACTGACAAAAGATGCATTTACAGCTGCACTGACCACAGCACCACACACACACACACACTTTAAAACCACATGTGACGTGACATTGGAATTTAGTGTGCTTTTAATTAAAGGCTATTGTAAGAAACTCAGGAGAGAGGATGTGACTCCCAGTTCAAATAGTTAAAGCCTGAAACTGTGATTTCCTAAAAAGCAAAACAATTCTCTAATGCGAAACAAAAAGGTTTGTTTTTTTTGGTTTGGTGATTCACCACAGCTCTACGTGGAGATATGAACTATACGACAACAAGAGTAAAAGAAAAAAGCCTTCAGCCACTGTTAGAGCAGGGCAGGTATACAGTAAAGTTCCAGGCATGTTCAGTGAGGCAATTACTTGACAGGTTGCATGGAGAAGGGGAGGATTAGGAGTAGGGAGAGATGAGGGTCAAAGAAAGGGTAGCAGATGGGGTAAGGGGGGAGGCAGTGGAAGGTCAGCCTTTTAATCCAGGATGCACAGCTATGGGTGTCTGACATTTAAAAAGCAGGATGTGTTGATCAGCCAATCAGGCAGCAGTGGGCTGTTATGAATGTTAGCATTTAAAGGAAAATCAGAAATGTATCAGTCAATGATCAGAATTTCATTGACGTCTAAAAAAAATAAAAATAAAAATCAATGAATTTTATTAATAAAAGTCATTTTTCTGGACCATCATCCTAGGACCAGTATTGACGCACATTAGCCTGTTAGCTTCTTTCTGTTGATCAACAGACAACTATAGTGTTAGCAAGAAGCTAGTGGCAGGCAGTAAATCTATCAACCGTGCGGCAGTGAATATTTTGTTTGTGTTGTAAACTTTATTGGCTTTACAGGAAGCATGTTTACTATCCGGCCGAGATTGGATGTTGTTCATGATGACACAGTTTGGTGCTGAAGTGACCAATCAGCACAATCGCTTGATTTGAATTGATTTTTACATTTAGACAAAAAAAAAAAAATCAAAAAAAAAAAAAAAAATCCATACAGCGATGGAATAGTCACTGCCGTAATCACTGGTCAAACATTAAATTATTTTTTCTGCTGCTATTTTTTATTTTTTTTGGTAAACCCATTTTCCATCAACTATGCAAAGTCCAGACACCTGAAGTGTTCATCCAATAAGAACACAGAACTCCTCAGTGGTTGGTGAGGCCATATTTGTATGCATTGTAAACAGCTTTCATAATGCAGTTAGCAGCTATAAACCCATTTGTATCACGTGCTACACAAGACTCGGAGAAACACACTGCCTCAAGTGGTCAATGTTTTCAAAACAGCATGGACAAAATTGAGTTTTTATTTCAAAAATAAACATTGTTGTAAGTTATTTTTATTTTGTGATGTTTCATAAACACCTCAGATCCAAAAATGTTTTTTGTGGGTTTTTTTTACAATAGCAGAAACTATTGTAATGTATACTTTCTGTATTTTATTTTTTAAATTTGTCTTCAGCTCAGTGTGTAAACTAAGATAAAAACAAGAAAATTCCACTTTCTACAAGCTAAATTAACTTTCAACAATTTCAGACACCAGTTTGAGCCACTGCCTTTTTTTTTTTAAGTTCCTTATTTGCTCCACACAGGCTGCCACAGGAGGCGCTATTAAGTTTGTGGTCCCTCTGGGGCTCAAACCGCTACAATATGGAAGCACTCCTGCTCAGAGCTGCTGTCCCCTCATGAATGTAAAACATGGAACAGCCACACACACACACACACACACACACACACACACACACAGAGAACAACAACTGTTTGTTATTACTGTACCTGCAGGATGAGCACAAAGAAATCGACCGGTTTGCCCCTTTGGTAGACGTAGTGATGCAGTGAGAGCTTGTCGTTCTCGTTGAATTTGATCTCCTGGATCACATCTGGATGGCGCAGGATACGCAGCAGGACCTTGTCTGAGATCTGAGACGGGCTGAACAAGCTCACCTCTGCAGGAACAAGAGAAAAAGGAAGTTGTTGACGTTTAATCATTTCAGGATTTTTGTTAAAATCAAGACTCGAACAAACTAATTTTTGGATAAAAAATATCTGCACCATCGACGTATTTAATAAATATTTTAATATTATTTAATATTGATCACTTGGTTCAGTTTTATTGTACAGTAAAATATGACTGACAACATGTTTTTAATGTAATAGCAGTGAGTTCTATCTTTTTGTACCATTAACTTCACTAATTATTTTATTTTCATGGACAACAAAAATAATCTGGGCACAAATCTGAGAGTGAGATAATGTGCAGTTCCAGGCATTTATTCACATCAAGAGTTCATTTATTTTCGACATCAGTCCTAATAACTCTTGCATTAAAAAATTATCGATGTGTAATTGGTGATAATGCTTATTTAACATGCATCTCTCAACTGCTGTGAGCCAGACTGTTGCAATCAGAGTCAGGCCATAAGTGACTCGGCCCCCACCCAAACTCACAACAAAGAAAACACTCCCTACTGCAAACAAATCCTATGTAGCACACAGTCAGGGGACCATCGCTGAAGTCAGTGACCAAAATACACTGTTCAGACATAATCAGTGCAGAGATCAGTGGGTCATCTTACTGTCATCAATCAGTTACAGCAACTTCGTTGTAAGTTGCTTTATTACTGACACGTGTCAAAAGTTTGGTTTTACAACTTCTCAAAGACTGACAAAGGGGGCAAAAGTTAAAGCCTATGGGCAACAGAGCGTTGCTTCAGCTCTTGACGTGTATCAAAATGACCAGGAATAAACATTGTTGTTTATTCCAAAAATAACACCAGTTTGGCAGAGAGGCATGGGCAATCTAGAATTGCATCTATCATGTAAACAAAGCAAGTGAGTGGGGGAAAAAAAACCTGCAACGTCACTGTCCTAAAAATACATACAGGAGTGGACACTAGGAAAAATGAACATTAAATTCCAGTGCAGTGAACTAAGTGAGAAAAATGAGACCAACATCCTGAGAAAGAACAGTTGCAGAGTAAGCAGACACTGACGTAATGCCCCGCAGAGGGAAGACATGCTGCAACACAATACGGTCTGAGGCTTCGTCATGTTAGCAGCTAGGGCTAACAGCTTCCGGCAGCTTTGGGCTGCGCTAACCAAACAAGATTGCAACATGTTTACAAGCAACATGTGACATCACAGCTGTCTGTCAGCACAGTACTCCGGCAGGCGGACTGCATGTAACCAAAATAGATGGTCTAAATCAGTGTTTTACCAAAATTTCTTTTTCTGGGGACCCATATTTTAAAAGTTTGCGACCCAAGTCAATAGACATTATTTGTAAACTCCTGGAACACATGATGTGAGAGGACCCCAAAAAATAAAAATCTCTCGCGACCCACCTGAGAGTCACGACCCAGACTTTGGGAAACAATTCTCTAAATCAGTGGTTCTCAAACTGTTGTATGTGTACCACCCGTGGTACACAAGCACTCTCTAGTGGTATGTGGGGAAAGTTCATATTTTCACATTTACATTTTCAATTGAATAAATCTGAAACATACCATGTACTAACTAATACAACATTTAACCATAAACCTCTTTCTAAACATTTCTAAACATCTCTCCTGTGGTGAAAGCTAACAGTGAAGGTCTATGCTGCTATATTTTAATGTTGGTCATCATGGTGGTACTCAGAGACCTCAATAATATCTCAGGTGGTACAGAGTATAAAGAGTTTGAGAACCACTGCTCTAAATCACATATGTCAAACTCGTGGCACGTGGACCAAATCAGGTCCACCACCTAATTTTATGTGGCCCACCAGAGCTTAACATGCATGTGGTTGTTTTAAATAAAACTCTATCATATACAGTCCATACTAATGTTTACTGGGCTGGTTAAATGCAATGCTCAAATTCTGACACTTTAAATGTATACTCTCAAAAATTATAACATAACAGAGTAGCATTATGAACAGGAGTGAATTTGTTTGCTTCCCACCTGTAGCCAGGAACCGATGGGCAGCGAGCAGAAGCTGAGAAGAAATCTTCACTTTGGATTCACTCTCATGTTTGAAGGCTGAGAAGTCTCTCTTGTTTTTGTTGGGTGCCACCTTTCTCCTGGTGCGATTGTCAGCTACGATCACACACGGACAAAAAGATGACAGACGTTATTTATTAGCCATTTATGTGGATTGAAATCAAGTTACAAACTCCTAAATTTATTTTGAGAACAAGCTAACAGATAAATCATTTCACTTGTATTTCCTAATTCATCCTTTGTAGTTAACATGTAAAAATCATCAAAAAAAAAAACCCAACATATTTATAGGTTAACATAATCGACTCATCCAGTATACCTCAAATATGAAGTAATCAATTATTGTAATGCAGTGTAGAAAATGATATGAAAATCATCATATGTAGCAGGAAGCAAAATTCAGGGACTAAAACAAGACACACAGTTCATCATGACTCATACAAACTTACTGTAAAGATCGGACTCGTCCAGAATCTCGCATTTAATGATCTCCTCAATGACGTCCTCAAGAGTGACCAGGCCCAGAACTTCGTAGAACGGATCGCCATCTCCTTCATTGTTCACCTTCTGCACAATGGCCAGATGGGATTTTCCTGTTAAAGACAGAGACCAACACTGGTTACACCGTCAGCCGAGTCTATTCATTACCTCACCACAAAAACATGGGAGCCATGGTTGCTCATCTGGATGTTGTGGTGCAAATGATGGTACTTGCTATAATTAGC